GAGAGGCAAAGCAACAGTGCTAGGGAGACGTTGGCCATCATGTTCTCTGTGCCGTTCGACTACAACGTGTACAAGAACTGGATGGCGTTGGGGATCTACAAACAGGGAAAGGAGTGCAACGAGGCTCTGTACAAAGAAATGTATTACAACAAGGAGCCAAAGGACTTCGTACGGCAGGAGTCCAACGGCTGTGGGCTCACCTTCCAGGGCCAACATTTGGACATCAAAGCCACCATGTCCCCCATGGGCAAGTGCATCATGAAGGTGGAGATCTGGGACAAGCTCTTCATCTAAATGAGTCCACAGCCCCACTGAGCTTTGTGTTAGAGAGTCATGCTGGATGTTCTCTGTAGCCCTGTATTACTGTGGCTCCTGTTTAGGAATTAAAGCCATAATTATTCTAAACATGACTCCCAGTGGTCCCTGTTAAATAAAACAACACAGTCGAGTTTCACAAGGTTATCTACATGAGTCATCATTGCAATTTGTTTTTGGGATTTTCATTTGAAGGTGAAACAACATAAAATCAGTGGTGAAAATGATTTCATGAATTACGTCTAAATGGCATCAACAATCTCTGCAAAAATTCTGTTTTAAGATGACGAAACTTCAGTCTGTTAATAACAAAATAAAACTTTACGTTAAACTCAAATTTCATTCTAGAAAACAAACTAAATAAAATGCTCTGAAGCTTTTTGACAACAGACAAGATCAGGAGTTAAAGGCTAATCCAGCAGACTCCTGCGGGTTTTTATAAAAGACTGAAAACTGAAACACATTTATTTCTAGAGCAGCTGTTTAAACCCATCAGCCATTGTTAAAAATCTCTGGACATGTCAGACATTTTAGTTGAGTTCAGTATGGCCAACCCAACAGAAACCTGCCTGGCCACATGTAATGTTGAAAACATCCACACACTTCACCAAATCTCCTATTTTTGTCGTCACTGCAGTAAGTTGCTTTGGTTTGCAGCGTCTTCACTGTTCCCTTCAACAATACAGATTTTAAACTCATGTATATATTTTCATTGCAACATAAATACAGCACAATCCAGTTTTCACATTTAGAAGTAAGGCAGAGGAAACAGAGATAAGAGCTAACAATTGTTGAACTGAAACACCACCTGGTGGTTTTATAAATCACTACGTTTTTTGTTTTTATCTGCAAATTAAAAAAGGGAAACATGATGTTTTTTTTTTTTTACATTTAATCAGATAAAATTCCACTAGTCAGGTCAAATTTCTACTGCTGTAGCGTCCAGAAATGGTCAGTTTTTCATCTACAGTTGACCTCTTCAGTATCCGGTCATAAGGAGACAGGAGTCTACATTTGTTGCCTTTAATCTGCTGGATCCTGCGTTTATCAGCTGGAGTCCGGGGCTCTGCAGCTTTGAAAACAGTGTTCCCGTTTCAAGGCCTTAACCCATTTGTGCCCAAATTTTTTTCAGAGTCGTAATGCATATCATTTTATCAGTTAAGTCCCTCAGAATCATGTTATATAATTTTTTTTTCAATTATGTACTTTTTTTGGGAAGAAAATGGCGTATTTATGACTGGCAACTATTGTTGCCAGTGGTCACATAGCTTGTCAGCAGGTTAAATGTCACCTAATAATAGGAATAGAGAAGTAATAATAATATCGTTATAACCAGGGCTGACCCTGGGGCATTATTTTCACTGGGCAAAATTTTTCCTAGCACCCCCCCCACACACACACACACACACACACACGCAAACACCCCACCCCCCCACACCCCACACCCCCTTCACACACCCGTAACCTCACCCATGCATCCCACAAACAGGACACTGCTGTTATTTTGGCGCACCTCACTGCAGCAATACCTCCCCCAATGGCTGTTCAATGTGATTGCATAGGTGGCCTGGGCCAAGGGCCAGGTCTGGTCATAACAAAGTGATAGCCTAATAGTATTGTCATAAAAATAAGAAAGGACTCAGGTTCCCTCATATGAAATCCAAAACAAGGCGCAATTTGAACTGTTTCCTTTATTCACTTTTTTCAAACTCAAAATCACAACAAACATGTTTTCTTAGAACATCTAACACATATTTATGTATATGACATAGTTCCCACACAATCCATCCTTTGGTATGGATGTACTACTCAGTGTGGTACTTTTTGTCAAACCTGGTGACATCAGGTATCGCCACCGCCATTGCAGATTTTCTGCCTTGCCTACTTGGCTTTGTTCCATGGCGCTGGAGGAAGATCTGGGCTACCAGCCTCTGGAATGGGAGGAGATCCATCTGCCCATTTTTCCAGGACCTAAATCAATGTCAACATGCATATTATGCTATTACTCAATCTTCAATATCATCCCTTGTACATTGTTATGCCCCATATGTAGAACGTTCTGTAAAAGCAATATCACACTTGAGTTTGTGATGATGGATATCACCACGGGGGGTGGGGGTGGGGGTGGGGGGGTGTGGGGGGGTGGGGCTTACTGGTTATGTAAGCTCTTGTGTGCAAAGGAAAGTGCACCCCCAGCTGTACATCAACTGTCTGTCGGCAGCAACTGTCCGAGAGGTGAGTTGTGTTGTTCCGGGCAGAGTGTAGAAATGCAACACATTCTCACTCCCAGCACGTCAAAAACAAACGCTTGCAGCTACCCTCCACGTCAGACCCCAGACGCCAAAAGTGCCTTTTTTCGTTACTTATGTGCGAAAAGGGGTTTTTCCCTTATGTAACTGCAGATCCCAATGCAGCGTAAAACTGACGTGATGAGATATCCGCTGATGCCGCAGCGAACCAGCTCATTTAACCGCACCTAAACCTTAACGTTTCACTATTTATAACCTTCCCCTCACCCTCATCCTAACCTTAACCCTCTTGCTACCTAAAACGTTACTCTCACTGTGATCAAGCGCTTGTTTCCCATTAGTGATGTGTCGGTCGCGAACGAACCGGCTCTAAGAGCCGGCTCTTTGAGGTGAACGACGGGAGCCGGCTCGTCATTGGGAGCCGTCCCCTCCCCTCCCCTCTTGCTTTGGTGAAAGCTACAGGCGATTGGTCAACATGTGTAACTGCGTGTCCGGACTGTCCACACACAGAGCAGTAGGGGCGGGGAAGAGGGAGGACCAGACTCAGACACACAGCAGAGCACATGCTGGTGGCGGGAGACGAGAGGGAATGAGGAGGAGGAAAAAGGCGAGCGAGAGAGAGAAAAGTGTGACGAAGATGGTGAGAAAATGAGCGCCAGCAGTCGGAAAGTGGAAATTTCTAAAAGTGTTCAGTTATTAAATCCATAGAAATGATAAATATTTGACGTCTTGATTTTTTTTACACTAGCAAATCATTTTACATATAGTTTTGCATTATTTTGGTTATAAATGTACTCTACGCAACAGAAAATCTGAGGAGCCACTTGGGAGCCGAAGGAGCCGGCTCTTTTTGGTGAGCTGAGCCAAAAGAACCGGCTCTCCAAAACGAGCCGGAATTCCCATCACTATTTCCCATGCATTCTGACTGTGAATTTTCGTATTTGCTGCCCAAGGGGAACGTTAGAACATACCATCTGGCGAGGGGGAGGTTACAAATACCCTCTACTTTTAACCTCCACCGTGGTAGTTGAAACCTCCCCCTCGCGTTGGCTCGGTCCAAACTCGACCAATGACGAGGCGGCTCCCGCCGTTCACTTCATAGAGCCGGCTTTTAGAGCGACCACACATCACAATGTGTTCACTAGCAAGATGGTTAAGGTTAGGATAGGGTTGAGGGGAAGGTTAAATAAGAGGATAAGGTTAAGGTAAGGTACAATGAGCTTGTTTGGTGCCCTGGCTGCGGACATCCCATTGCGTCAGTTTTACGCTGCATTGTGATCTGCAGTCAAATAAGGGGAAAACCCCTTTTCGCACATAAGTAACGAAAAAGGGCACTTTTGGCGTCAGGGGTCTGACGTGGAGGGTGGCTGACCAAGCGTTTGTTTTTGACACGCTGGGAGTGAGAATGTGTTGAGAAATGATGTACACGTGATGTTGCATCCACTGTATCTATGGAGCAAGTGCCTAATGCTAGTTTATGTGCATTTCATGTGGTGAATATTATAAAATACTCTGTATGCTAAAGCAGAATGCTAATGGGAGAATCTGTTGTAGTGCTGTACGGAGCCTGTGTTTAACAGCTCTTCTGTGCTGACCCGACGCCATTGTGTTTCTGTACAGGAAATAAACTGCTAACAATCAGTCAAAACTTCTTGTCTTCATTCAAAAATCAACACAGCACAGAATCAAGGGGTTTATTCAAGCAGACTAGATACGTCAAGTGAAGCAGAACCTGGTTATAGTTGCTTCAGTAATTATTGATACTTTATGTTATTATTTTATCGTGATTAAATATCTTATATTTGCTTACCTCCTATTTTTCTTTCTTTTGCACAAAGTACTGCGGCTATTTCCTAATGTTGTGATTTCTCGCACATATGGCAATAAAACGCTTCGGATACAGATAAGGTCAATTTTAACAATTTACAATCTGCAAGATCACATAAAAAAGCCCGGTAAAACATTTAAAAGTTGTTGAGAAGGAAAGTTTGAGGGTTGGAGTATTGACTTAGAATTTAGATATCATTCAAATTTTTCATTTTTTTATTTTATTTTATATTTTCAAAAAAATTCACGAAGTATGTTGAAAAGTAACAAAGTTCAATAAAAGTACAATTAATGAGGATTTTACACAGCCAAATGGTTTAAAGCAAGGGTGTTAAAACTTTTCACAATGAGGTCCAAAAGAAATACTTCATCATGAGCCACAAATTTTACTTTCTTGATTTATTAAATGCAATAAGTAATATTTTAAACAGCTTTAAACTAATCAGTAAAAATCTGAACATAAATGATAAAAGTGTTGATCTACGTCAGCAACCTTCCACAAACAAATTCCACCATTCTAGGAATGCAACTGGGGCCATCCAGGATCATTCTGAGGGCCACAAACAGCCCACGGACCGCAACTTGAGGAGCAGTCTCCACCCCTTTCGGACTGTCGCGCGCCTTGTGCCCGTCTCCTAGCAACCAGAGCCCTAGCTGCTCTGTGCCGCTCCAGGCCATCCGGACCGGACCTTCTGTGTTCCGGACTAAAGTTGGCTCTTAAACCGGGTAAACGGTTATGGACTGGACCTCAGACTGAACCGAGGCGCCGCCATGAACGACCGGTACCACCGGGCAGCCCGGGACGGCTACCTGGACGTCCTAAAAGAGGCCACGCGGAAGGATCTGAATGCCCCGGACGAGGATGGGATGACGCCGACTTTATGGGCCGCTTACCACGGAAACCTGGACGGGCTCCGGCTCATTGTGAGCAGAGGGTGAGTCCAGAGATCCGGACCGGACCGAAATGGTTTCTGGTTCCTCTAATCAGCAGCAGGTTGACCAGCGAAGAAGAAACTAAGTTTATTTTAAATGAAAAAGCTCCTTCTTTGTTTCCTTCGTGCGACTCTTAGATTTTATTTAAATACATTTTAATCGTTTTATTCTGAGTGTTTTTCTTTTTCATAAGCTGAACTTTTTTAGTGCAAAATAATTGACCAAGTTTCAGCTAGAAAAATATGTGGTCTACTTTTCATAAGGACTACGTGCACTTTAGTACTGCGGGTATTTACATTTAATAGCAAAAAAGGTCTCCCTCCTCCATCATCACTGACCCAGTCAGTGCTGTGGAACAGTTTTACATATAAACAGCTTCATTATAGAGAAAGGTCACTGAATCCTCCATAAACACAGCTCCCGTCTAATCAATCCAGCCCAACTTTATTTATAACGCACTTTAAAACAGCCAGCAAAGGACCAAAGTACTACACAGACATACACGGTTAAAACCGCGTGTATGCGACACAAATGTGTATAGGAGAAAGCAAACCTATAGTAAAAAAAATACATAAAATAAATAAATATCTAAAAAACATTAAAGCTCAGGTAGAGATGAGTTTTCAACAGGGATTTAAAACCAGACAGAGGAGGCTGTCACACGTCCAAAGACAGATGATCGCAAAGTTTTTTGTGAGGTGCCTCAACAGAAACACGTCATGTCCTCTGAACTTATGCTTGGTCCTCGAAATCCTCAGGGTCAGCTGATCGTCTGACCTGAGAGAACGGGAGTTTATTTGGTTGTAGATGCGCTGAAATGTAGGATGGGGAAAGTCAATAGAAGGCTTTAAAAGTGAGAAATTTGAGATCATTTCTAAATGGTATAGGCAACCGGCGGAGTCGGGTTAGAATAGGGTGGCTAAGGTGAGCTGCAGCATTCTTGAGATGAGTGTTGGAAGAAATATTTTTTTCAAAAAGTTGACATCCATTTAGGCCCTCATTTCATCGAGACATCTGTACTGGTTCTACAAAGTGTGTCATTTTTAGAGATATACCGTAAATGTGACAGTCAGCATCCCTTATGCTCACCCAAACAAGGATACCCCGATCCTCCTTGTCAAATGCAGCTGCTTTTCTACGTAAAGCTCCTACAGATTCATTGTGGTTAAGGCTAGGTTGATGCTCCGAATCGGCTTTAGTCCAGTAACTGTTTTCTCACATATGTGTTACTGCAATGTAACGCTATGGCTCAGAAATAAATAAATCTGATCTTTGTCTGCGAGACTAAATAGAGGACACTTAGCTGTGGATCATAAAACAACAATGGCAGCTTGCTGATTAAGCAATATAATTCTCATTCTTAATCAGTTTGGGAAGATGCGTTTATTTCAGCCGTTTGCAGGTTTATGAGGCATGAGGAGAAGCTGAAGGTTGACTCTGGAAAGGTCAGAGTGATGGATCAACACAATGACAGAGACCACAAACACAATATAATAGGAATACAATTGTACCAGACTTGGATAACATTTAAAAAATGTTTCATATTTGCAATATCAATATTTAACAGGGCTGCTAGGATATTATATTCCAACAGTCGTGCATTCTAGCTCTATTATATTTGTCCATCCAGTGGACTCTGAATTGCCCCAGATTCCCACAGCCAGTATAGATGTTGGTGGTGGAGTGTTGTGTCATGATGGCATAAAATGAAAGGAGTAGTGCAGAAAATAACAGGGGTTTATTTGAAATGAATCAACAATATCACAATCACAGGATGTACGGTGGTGCAGGGGTTAGTGCTGTTGCCTTGCAGGGAGGAGGTCCCAGGTTCAAATCCAAGCATGAAGTCTTTCTGTAAGGAGTTTACATACACGTTCTTCCTGTGCATGGGTGGGTTTTCTTAAGGTACTCCAGCATCCTCCCATAGTTGGGTTGTGAGAGTGTGCATGTGCGGTTGTGCTCTGTGTGTATGTGTTGCCCTGCGATGGGCTGGCAACCTGTCCGAGGTGTACCTTGAAGATAGGCAGCCTCCCGCAACCCTGCAATAATGGATGAGTGGATCCCATTTTCTAATATCGTGCAGTTGTGTGCAGATTCGTGATTTTAATAAGTCTTTCCTAAAAAAAACTGTATGTAGGAACATCAATTCAATTCAAGACTATTTATATAGCGCCAAATCACGACGAGAGTCGTCTCAAGGCACTTCACACAGTAAACATCCCAATACAGGTCAGTTCATTAAGCCAGTCAGAAAATAGTCTCCTATGGAAGGAGCCCAGCAAATAGCATCGAGTCACTGACTGTCAGTGTCACTACAGCAATCCTCACACTGAGCAAGCATCAAAAGGGTTCACGCTTTTATATACCTATGTATGCTTGTTTAAATACTAAATGGCCCGCACTTGTATAGCTCCTTTCAGAGTCAGAGTACTCCAAAGCGCTTTAAACTACAGTGTATCATTCATCCATTCACACACACACTTTCACACACTGATGTGATCAAATTGGCTAAGTGGCAAATTCAGAAACCTGTGTGGTTCTAATCTGATATTATACAGTTAGTCTCCCTTCATAAATTGCTTTAAAAGAATCTAGACGCACATCTTAAAGGTGCAGTTCACTGAGAAACATATAATACTCATTCTTTTTCAAATGGGATTGTCACTCTGAGTCCATGCATACAGAAATGGTCTTCTACCTCTATAGCCTGCATTAGCCGCTGAAAGGTCATAGATGGAGAACACTTGGGTTTTTCTACATCACAGGGAAATATTTACATTCATAGACTCGCCCACCTTGGCTCGCGACCACAGAAGGCTGTATTGATTTACAGTGGGATGCAAAAGCTTGGGCAGCCTGGTTAATCTTCATGATTTTCCTATATAAATTGTTGCTTGTTTCGATAAAAATTTTCAGTTAAATATATCATACAGGAGGCACACACAGTGATATTTGAGAAGTGAAATGAAGTTTATAGGATTTACAGAAAGTGTGTAATAATTGTTTAAGCAAAATTAGGCAGGTGCACACATTTGGACACCACAAAAATTAATTAACTCAATATTTAGTAGCTCCTCCTTTTGCAGAAATAACAGCCTCTAAACTCTTTCTATAGCTTCTAATGAGAGTCTGGATTCTGGTTGAAGGTATTCTGGACCATTCGTCTTTACAAAACATCTCTAGTTCATTCAGGTCTGAGGGCTTCTGAGCATGGACAGCTCTCTTTAACTCACACCACAGATTTTCTATAATATTCAGGTATGGGGACTGAGATGTTCATTCCAGAACATTCTACGTGTACCTCTGCATGAATGCCTTAGTAGATATTGAGCAGTGTTTAGGGTCGTTGTCTTGTTGAAAGATCCAGCCCCAGTGCAACTACAGCGTTGTCACTGATTCCTAGACATTGGTCTCCAGAATCTGCTGATACTGAGGGGAGTCCATGCGTCCCTCAACTTTAACAAGATTCCCATTCCCTGCACTGGCCACACAGCCCAGAGAATGATGGAACCGCCACCATGTTTTACTGTAGGTAGCAGGTGTTTTTCTTGGAATGCTGTGTTCTTTTCCCTCCATGCATAACACCCCTTGTTATGCCCAAATGACTCAGTTTTAGTTTCATCAGCACCTTATTCCAAATAAAGCTGGCTTCGTTTTGGCACACAGTGGTTAAACTACGACTCTGCTTCCTGGTCTGGACCCTGGGTTGTCATGGAGGACTAATAAAACTGGCCATGTTCCCAGAAAGAAGAGCTGCTCCATCCAAAGAGGGATGGATGCCGTCTCTCCGCATCAGTTTTCCCCAAAAAGTTTTCCAATTATCAAAAAAGCCCACGTTGTTTTCAGGACACCACCTGACACCAGCCAGCGGTTGAAGGACAGCATGCGGCTAAACATGTTGTCACTGGTCCGATCAGGCAGGGGGCCAGAGAAAATTACGGAGTCCAACATTGTTTTGGCAAACTTACACACCGAAGCAACATTAATTTTAGTGACCTCCGATTGGCGTAACCGGGTGTCGTTACCGCCAGCGTGAATAACAATCTTACTGTATTTACGCTTATCCTTAGCCAGCAGTTTCAGATAAGATTTAATGTCGCCCACTCTGGCCCCAGGTAAACATTTCACTATGGTTGCTGGAGTCTCTAATGCCACGTTTCTGACTATGGAGCTGCCAATGATCAGAGTCGGCTTGTCAGTGGGTGCGTCACTCAGCGGGGAAAATCTATTAGAAACGTGGACGGGCTGGGTTCTATGCTTCCTGCGTACCGTCACCCAGCCGGCCTCAGGTCCCAGCTGTTCGGGTTCTGCTGGAGGATCGCTACAGGGTTGTTCTGAGCTAGTTAGGCCAGCGCTAGCTAAGTAGCTATGGCTGTTTACGGATTTTTCAACAGCGCGGAGCCGGGACTCCAATTCCGACACCCTCGCCTCCAAAGCTACAAAAATACTACAGTTATTACAGGTACCATTATTGCTAAAGGAGGCAGAGGAGTAACTAAACATCTGACACAGAGAGCAAGAGATAGGAGACGGAGAAGCAGAGACAGAAGTAGCCATAGCCGTGCTGAGGCTAAGCTAACTGGACGAGCAAACTGTTCAACACCAAATAAACCGTGCAAACTCAAATGGTTCCCTAAAAGCTAGGTGGAACAACAGTAAATGTGTGTATTAGCGTGCTTATGTGCTACAATAACTCAGATATATCCTAGTACAGAGAAATTAAATCAGTTTTAGCGAGCCCCAAACACCAAACAGCTACACGTAGTGCAACACTGAAAACAGGAGACAGGAAACGCCTTACCGCAAGGTGCAGCCGATTCATCTCATGATACATCGTCACCCTAGCCTAGAAATCTAGACAGTAGCCAAAGCAAACAGATTTTGCTCTGCATGTCTGTCTAGCCACACTCCGTCATTTGAAATGGCTTTGGCATCAAGTCTGGACTATTTTTCTATTTTTCAATTCTTGGAAGCTGAAAATGTCCCAGTTCTTGCATGGCCA